GACCTCGTTGTCGCAACTTGGTCTTGTTGTCAGGGCGACTTAGTAGAACGCAATTAGTCCGAAGTCGTCTTCTAGAGTAGTTGTCAAACATTTCGCCGGCATCATCAGTGAGTTTTGCCATTCTCCGCACCAAGCTACGAACGTTTGAGAATGTACCAAGTCCACTGTCTGATGCTGGGAATCAAGATAACTACTATGACAGACGACTTCGGACTAGGTGTGTTCTATTAAGTCCCCCTGACAACAAGGCCAAGTTGCGAGAACGAGGTCAACCCACTTTTATAAATCGAAAGGAGACTGCGACCATACCAGAGGCCACACCATCTTTGTCTTCATATCTTTTTTTCTCTTTTATTCAGGCCTTGAGGATGGCGGCCTAGCGAAACGTGATGGAATCTTAAATTCCACCAGTTTCATCTGGACCCGGACAAATTGTGTAGATATGCACGCCTGAGGCAAGACCATGCACCCATAAAAGAGTTTCCCATCCACTACACATCTACGTCTTGCAGGCTGTTGTCTCAAGACCCCCTTTTACACTAAATCTAAGCGATTGCGACTTACCACGACAACATTTGAGATGCACTACTTACGTTGTTCTTTGCATAAGACTAAAGATGCGCAGAGTGGCAATAAAAATTTCACGATAACATGCAAACGGGTATATTATATGGGATATTTATTGTTCTGGCAAAGTTTTCAATGGAATCCGATTTGCGTCCTAACTCGTACCTATTGAAGGTAGGTTCTGAGGCTACCAACTAATCTTAAATAAGTGTTATAGTCACCCAAATCTCAAAGCTCACTTTCCATAAGTAGAAGTAACACTGTCGATTATAATGTAAAAATGCAAGTTTTACCACTATCAATGTGATATTGAAGAGTACTGATATTTATTGCTCTGTGTCCAAGGTGTACTCTTATCAGTGTGGCGTGGTGTTAACATGTCAAAAGTTTACGCTAAATCACTCAAGCTTCATTTCTGTTAGGGATACTGCAGCCCACCCTGTATGAGAACGCTTTTTAGAAAAAGGTGGGAACGGGTGACCAGGGCATCCAATTATGCATGTTGCCGATGCACCTTGATCACTCAACAATGTTTAATACAGGAGGGCAGTGGGGCCGGCTTAATCTTCCAATGGTACTAAAATACTCCTCTACATTTATGTAGGATAGGCTAGAGAGTATCGCAAGCTTATAGCGGTTAGTCACAAGCTATACTCTAAATTATATAGTAACTATATTTTATCTATGGGGCAATTATATATTAATTGTTTGTAGATAACACGATAAAATAAGACACATATACATGTAAATACGTTCTTACAGAATTATCTATACATGCGCGTTGGCGCGACTGCATTAATATGTGCATGTATTTATGGATGCATGTATATATGCATAAATGCACATACATATACATATATGCATTTATGCATGTATGCATGTACGAATGAAGTACTCTCGCACTAAGCCCAATACATTAATTAGAGATGACGATGAAGAAAGTTACTTTATACTACAAAAAAATCTTATATCGAAATTAAAAAGTAAAATACATTGGTGGACCACTGGATTTAGATGCTTATATACCTGGAAATTGTGCCTCAGACAATTCGCTAGGCAGCAGCCATAGTATTTTTGAGCTATCTTTGCATATATTATCAATACTATTTATATAATATTTGAATAAGATTAGGATTTACTTCTTAACACTTATTATCATACTTTATGGAAAAATAAACCCAATTAGCTTGTCACTAATTTAGCCGCGGTGATGAGTTATTCAGAGCTCCCAATATGTCCGTATACAAATGAGAACAAGGGTTACCATAAATACCCAAACTAAGACATTATAAATTCTATATTGCAGTGTAAATGTCACGATTTAGTATAAAATCTTGAAATCCGCCCCGTATCTGGTTTTTCTCTGCCACGGCATACTGGACTGTGGGTAAACCGAATCCGCCATGAGTTATACCACTTTGAATAGCCTTGGTGCTAGTATGAACGATAAAGCCATTAGATGCATCATATTCAAAACAACTTCAGGGCATTTTGTTACAAGAATGTGTAAGTCTAGCAACTGAGATCAAAGAGTATTACTTAAAAATAGCATCTTGATATGCCCATAAAAAATGATTCGCTTGCGAACGAGATGGAAATTAGCATATTTTCAAGGTATTTGATCTACTAACACTTTTAGCATTGGCTCGCAATAAAATGTTGTCTTTTTAGTTGGCAATATTAAGAATACTAATGAATGCCTTAATAATGCATAATAAATAAAAGTTATCATGAACGCTAGTATTAATAGGAATATATGATGCAATTCGCCAAGTTAGGGTGTGGAAAAATGGGTAAATTACTGAAGACCTGTGGATGCATGAAAGTGGGAGTAAATATAGCATTAAAGATAGAGGCGCTGACAAAATGGCAGTTAAAATCTTTAGATTGTTTGTTATTGTAAGGCCTTCCTTCAGCGTAAGTAATGGATTCGCGAAGCCGTTTTACGGTCTCTACGACGACGACATTACTGCCAAAGATAGTCATCAAACCTATTTAATAACAATATAACTCCACTTTTACTGCCGAATAATGTCCCTCACTAAATTTTACGGCTAAAAAAGACTAAACACAGAATTTGACTATTATTTATCCGTCTTTATTTCTACTTCATCGTTATAGCTCAAGTTCATTTGACCAATTTTACCAGACTCGCATCCGAAAAGTGAGAAATTAGGAATTTACCCTAACACGAAGCCATTCTTCAGGAACTTTTAAATCTATATTAACTATCAAAAGATATTTATTTATTGCTTGGAATTGCTTAAACCAAAAAATATTTAATATTTCCTGTTTCGTGAATAGGGCACATGCTGGGGTAATATCGTCAGCGGGAGTGTCAGATGCGTCTGCAATTCCGGCTTTCGGCGAGACATTAATGGTGCCTGTAATGTCCCGATAGGCTCCATGGAACTGGGAGCCTCGCCTTCATATGCTGAAATTATTTTGAGAAATCAGGCTCCTGCCTCTTCACAGACGACCTTTGATCTAGGCTTCAGGACGCGCAGCCCGGATGGTACTTTGGCTTATATTCAAGGGCAGTGGTCAGAGTACTACAAGTAAGCGTACATTCTGTTCGTAAGTCTCCTAATCTTTGGGCTGCCAATGACAATTTTAAGAGAGATGTTCTATCTTTTTACTGATTCACCTCGCCATGACGAAAATATATCCAGCCATCGGTGCATCCACTCCAGATATTTGGGGTTAAATATGCCTGCACTACTCTGCGAGTTATGTCTGTCTGTAAGCTATCGGCTCCATGATCGCGTGCGGTCTAGTAGTAATTTATTTTCGCTGAGTCCCGACGCTTGGGTCCTTGCTGAAAATCTCGTCAAAACCACCTACGAGTCTTAGGCCATGCTGAATCTGTGGTCTACTTTGGACGAGAAAATGCCTTGGGTATGTACTTCGCAGCACAACCCGGTTGCAAAACTATCTCAAGCTAATAAGAATCACTTACAGTCTCCATACCAATAGACGACCAAGATTTATTTATATGGATTATAATAATATGAGATGTATTCACCCAATTTCGTTTAAGGTGATGAAGGACTGATAGAAGAATTTTCCCACAATGATATGAGTAGAGCTGAAGTTTCCATTGAATCTCACATAGCCTTGCTTTGCCAAAAGTTGTTCTCAGAAATTGGGTGAATACATCTCATATTACTGATTTACTGGTAGTCTCGAAACAATACTTAAATGGATTATATTAGCATCACTGTTCTCTCTTACCAAAAGATTGGCTATTCTATACACACTTGTTAGCGGAAATGCTCATAAAAATGTCATCTTCT